CCCATCAGTTCCAGCTACTTTACCCCCTTTCATTCTACGTAATGCCTCACGTACCTCCCCCACACTTACATTCTGCTCTTCTTCACTCCTAAAAGATGCTATACCTCCCTGGCTAGTGCATTAAATTACCGCTTCCCTTTCTTCCTCAACACTTAAAAGTTCCTCAAAATATTCTAGCCATCTACCTAATACCTCCCTCTCCCCATCTACTAACTCCCCTACTCTGTTTTTAACTGACAAATCCATACTTTCCTTGGCTTTCTTAACTTGTTTAACTCACTCCAAATTTTTTTCTTATTTTCATTAAAGTTTCTTGACAGTGCGTGGGGAGTTTTGAACCAAGTGTGAGAGTACTTGTAGTTGGGGATTTTAATGCTAAAGTGGGAAAAAATGTTGTGGAGGGAGTAGGTAAATTTGGGGTGCCAGGGGTAAATACATATTTTATGAAAAAGAGGATAAATAAATATACAAGGTATGATGTAGCACGTAATGAAAGTAGTTTGTTAGATTATGTATTGGTGGATAAAAGGTTGATGGGTAGGCTCCAGGATGTACACGTTTATAGAGGGACAACTGATATATCGGATAATTATCTAGTTGTAGCTACAGTTAGAGTAAGAGGTAGATGGGATAAGAGGAAAATGGCAACAACAAGTAAGAGGGAGGTGAAAGTGTATAAACTAAGGGAGGAGGAAGTTCGGGTGAAATATAAGCAACTATTGGCAGAAAGGTGGGCTGGTGCAAGTATGAGTAGTGGGGGGGGGTTGAAGAGGGTTGGAATAGTTTTAAATATGCAGTATTAGAATGTGGGGCAGAAGTTTGTTCTTATAGGAGGGTGGGTGCAGGAGGAAAGAGGAGTGATTGGTGGAATGATGAAGTAAAGGGTGTGATAAAAGAGAAAAAGTTAGCTCATGAGAGGTATTTACAAAGCAGAAGTGTTATAAGAAGAGTAGAGTATATGGAAAGTAAAAGAAAGGTGAAGAGAGTGGTGAGAGAGTGCAAAAGGAGAGCGGATGATAGAGTGGGAGAGGTACTGAGGAATTTTAATGAAAATAAGAAAAAATTTTGGAGTGAGTTAAACAAGTTAAGAAAGCCTAGAGAACAAATAGATTTATCAGTTAAAAAAAAGAGAAGGGGAGGAGTGGTTGGTATTTTTGTTTAATAAATGTATGAAAGAGGGGAAGGTACCTAGGGATTGGCAGAGAGCACGTATAGTCCCTTTATATAAAGGGAAGGGGGACAAAAGAGATTGTAAAAATTATGGAGGAATAAGTTTACTGAGTATATCAGGAAAAGTGTACGGTAGGGTTATTATTGAAAGAATTAGAGGTAAGACAGAATGTAGGATTGCGGATGAGCAAGGAGGTTTTAGAGTGGGTACGGGATGTGTAGATCAAGCGTTTACATTGAAGCATATATGTGAACAGTATTTAGATAAAGGTAAGGAAGTTTTTATTGCATTTATGGATTTAGAAAAGGCATGTGCTAGAGTGGATAGGAGAGCAATGTGGCAGATGTTGCAAGTGTATGGAATAGGTGGTAAGTTACTAAATGCTGTAAAGAGTTTTATGAGGATAGTGAGCTCAGGTTTAGGGTGTGTAGAAGAAGGGAATTACTTCCGTAAAAGTAGGTCTTAGACAAGGGATTGTAATGTCACAATGGTTTTTAATTTATTTATAATGGGTTGTAAAAAAGTAAATGCTAGGGTTTTGGAGAGGGTGGGATAAATTATGGGGACTCAAATACAAAATGGGAATGACACAGTTTACTTTTTGCTGATGTACTTTTGTTTATGGGAGATTCTAAAGAAAAATTGCGAAGGTTATACGAATTTGGGAATTGTTAAAGGTAAGAAAGTGAAAGCGAACATAGAAAAAGAAGGATGAAAGTATAAATTTGATTTAGATAAAGAAAAATGTGATATCAAATTGGGAGAGATAAGAAGAAGTGAATGTTTTCAGATATTTGGAGTTGACGTGTCACGGTGGTTTTTATGAAGATGAGTTAATCAAGAATTGATAAGAAAAAGGTGATGTCATTGAGGTATATGTGGAAGGCAAAAACTTATCTTGGAGGCAAAGAAAGGAATGAATGAAATATAGTATACCAACACCTTATATGGTTGAAGCTTGGGTTGTAAATGCTAAACCCGAGAGGCGGTTGGAGAAAGTGGAGATGTCCTGTCTAGGGCAATGTGTGGTGTAAATAATTATGCAGAAATTAGGAGTGTGGAAATTGGGAGAAGGTGTGGAGTTAATAAAAGTATTAGTCAGATGGCTGAAGAGGGTTTGTTGAGGTGGTTTGGTCATTTAGAGAGAATGGATTAAAGTAGAATGACATGGAGCGTATAAATCTGCGAAAAAGAAAAAGTTTTAAAGATAAAGTATTAAAATCTAAGGGTGAAACCTCCCCAACATACTCAGTACATAGTAAAACTTCAAAGACTGCAACCAATGTATCAATGAATGACAGTTTAAAATGTATTATAACATATGGTACAGGAATCATAACACAGTCTTCTGCACATCTAATCAGAACCTTGCATTTTCAATATTTATGCTTGTTTTCTGATCCAATAATTCTGACCAGAGGATATCCAACGTTCGGTTCTTTTTAATATTTTCATATCTTACGTTCTAAGCAACTCCAAATTCACGTAAGATGCGATGTAAATATATTTACTTACAGAATAATACCGCAATGAAAGGTGTTTCGTCCATCAGTCGATTTAGCATCTTAATATTTACATCTTCGATTTCTCCATCCAATTCTCGATTGTCATCATCAGCCAGCCATTCCAGCACACTACCCTCGTTCTGCATATCTCCTAATTAACAAAAATAAATTGCCAATCAAAATAAAAGCTTTCGAAAGAATAAAAGGCTTCCCGCCAGCTTGTTTGGGCAGTGCGGAAGATCAGCGTCTGTGGAGCAGCTAAGAAAAAAGAAACTCGGGGTTTAACGAGGTCCAGTTTGTTTTGGGTAGTGTGAACCAGTAAATTTTAATCTTACATAAATATCAGGGACAGAAGTATCTACCAGAACGTTCTCGTTTAATGTTCATGATCAGTTCCTACACCCTTAAAAGTATTAAAAAAATCTACATTGTTCCTTCGAAGACGTATGTGTGCGCGCACAAAAGTCAATGCAGTATTTTTGAGCGCTCGTGCAGATACATGTTATTTATTATACTCTGTCTACCGGGCAGTCAGTATGAGGTTTTAGTTCCTTAAAGAAAACTGAATGAATGCTGCTATGTGGTCAGCATTTTAATGGAGATAGAAATCTACCAGCACATAGGAAGTATTTAAATTTTTACTGGAACTGGCCATATTCTAGTATATAATTATTCAAATAACGCCTTCCTGAAATATGGTCTAAATGGTGACGGTAGAGTATTGCATCATTCTGTAACACTGTATTCTGTACTGGATGCGAAATACCTTACAACTGGAAATGCAGAGTGCCTATTATCCCAATGAAAGACATACATTCATGGATGGAGCGTTAAACCAGTAAGCTTCACACAGCGTTTAAGGCGATCCCAGGAAGGGAAGGGCAGGTCTACTTCTTCGGACCAAGAGTCCCTCACCTACATCAAAGAACCTCCATTGAGGAAACATAAGAATTTTCTTTAATCCAGGTTAAATGTTATATAAATTTATGACCACATTTTTAACAGCCTCATCTTTCCTGGAAAAGTATTTAGGGAGAAAATTTATATTTGAATTTGGGAAGACTAGGCCTGGTTCACCGCCTACCCAAAACACACTGCACGTTTAACATAGGAGAAAACCTTTACTTGTTACTTGGTTATAAAGCATCAGGTGGTAGCGTTTAGACTGGAATCTCCATGACCAGCAAACTGTCAAAGGATTTAAAACAAAAATAATGCGGAGGATAAAAAAAAAAAAGCTGAAGGTAACTGGAAAGCTTGCTTGCGGAACCTGGTATAAATTAAAATAATGAGTAGACAGTTTAAAATAAAGTCTATTCATGCTGCAGAAGGAAGAAACGTGCACGTCACACTCGGTTAAGAGAAAGCCTTTACTCGCAGTCATCATGGCATTTATCAACAAATTTGGTTTGCATAACGCATTAATTTGTTTTAATCGAATAGAGAGCTGATCAACCCAGGAAGTCCTCATCTGTAGGAGTACTCACAAAACAAGGCGGCCAAATAGGTTGACTGTGCAACAAGTTGGTCCAGCATTGCAGGATTTACGTGTTCAATTTCATCAACTAATTCTCGATTGTCATCATCACTCAACCATTCCAAGAGAAAATTTCCATCCTTTATTTCACCTGAATGAGAGAACGGGAGTAGTTGTCATGAGAGAGCAAACTGGCTCACATGCTGTGAGGAAGGGGAGACCAAACAATAAACATACCCAACAAAAAATGCTGAACAAAAAACATAAAAAAGGGTAAGCATGGCCACCATCACACAGGATAAATTATTACCATGTGGGTTTGTCATTCACAGCACAACATGCCATGTCTCAAAAATAAAATAAAACACAATCTGCCAAGATTTTCTGGTCTCTCTAAAATTTCGTCTACATTTTTAGACTACAGTAAATAATATGTGGGTGCAGCATAAGGATGTAGTCGCCAAACCATTGTTGTATGAATCTGAGCACACATTTTTAATCTTACTTATGAAGACGACAGCAACAAAAGGATTATATTCAACTAATCGGTTGAGCATTGGCCTATTAACTTCTTCAATGGTTCCTTGCAATTCACGATTGTCATCGTCAGTAAGCCACTCGAAGACACTTGACTCCACACTGAGGTCACCTGAAGAGAGGGGGAGCGGGGAGGGTGGATCAGGGAAGACGCAATAGAAAACAGGATTTGGGGTATGCAAGACCAAAAAACGAGGACTATTCGCCGAAAACGAAGCAAGTCGGAAAAAATTCAGGAAGAGGGGGAATTAATGAGGGAGGAAATCAGGGTTTTATGATTGGGGTGTATTTCTCACGCACACTAGCTTACTCAAAAACAGAGTAGCAAGATATGGTTTCCTTGCAAGGATTGCGTAGAGCATTATCTTATTAACTTCTTCAATGTCACCTTCCAATTTACGATTATCGTCATCAGAAAGCCATTCGTAGACCCCCGAGCCCACTGAGGTGATGTCATCTGGAGAAAATAATCATTTGGTCAATGCCACACAATAATCAAAAACAAAAAGGCCAAAAATGGGTAGAGGTGGGTATGAAGGTAGGACATCACAGTGACCGAGGCGAAGGTAAGGGCCACACCTCTGGCTTACTGGTAAATAATACAGCCATTAAAGGCGTTCTGGCAAGAATGAGATGCAACATTGCACCATTAATTTCTTCAATACCGCCTTCGAGTTCTCGGTTATCATCGTCAGTGAGCCAGTTAACGATGAGATCTTCGTCTAAGATGTTATCTGCAGCAGATGAGGTATGGAAATGAGCTTAAAATATCTAGAATGGTGAAACATAGCTTGTGGAGTAGTTTATTTTAAAACTCCGACAGTTATAACTCACAAAAAACAAAGATCGTGAATATGGTTGGATAGCCCATGACCAGCTGAAGAATCCATGAACAGTTGGACTAATTTTCAAGTTCACATGATTTCTTTCCTGAATTCGTCACGCACTGTACTTAACCCCCCCCCCCCAATAAGAGACTGATTTCTTCATAGTCACCTCTCCAATACATCAGTATTTTCGATTTTTTCAATTTCTCCTTTATTCTTTACTTTCAGTACCACTAAGTAGCAGAGTGTCAATTCACATCATTACTCGTATAATCATTTGGAAGTGCTAAAATTGTGACAATCATACATCGCCTAGGGAGTGGGAGGTAATTAGGTTTGATTCTAGAATGGTGATGGGTAGTTCCAACTCCATGGATCGAGCCCTTCATTAGCATCAAGCCACTCCTCCCACCTTGAAGTGATGTCAATAAAATGTGATCACTTGCCCCGCCTGGCGGTGGAGGGGTAGGTATCTTTTTTTTTTTGGTGCGCTCTCTCGCGTTTTTTGTCTATTCCTGCTTTCCGGCCTAACTGGTAGTAATAATTTATCAAAAGTTATATATACCGATGAATACAAGCAGGAGTCTACTGGCAGGGCTGCATCTGCTCTTGTTGTCACCTGCTTAGTGAAGAACGATAGGAACTTTGTTGAGTTAGTCATAAGAATTAACAACTGGACGTCTACACTGCAAACTGAATTGTTTGCCATCCTAATGGCGCTAAAGCTAACTTATGCTAGCATAATAATGTATGTGATATATCAAGATATCTTATTAATGACAAGAAGATACCAGATATATTAAGCAAATTTCCTAAATTTGCTTAATATATTTGTTTTTAACAGATGAGTGAACTGTAGATATAAATCCAGATGCACTCCTGCTAACCCTTTTCGGGCTTGGTTCCTAGGCATTTTGTGTACCCATATGCTCTTGTGCTACCGTCCACAGGATGGGTATGGGGTGAACAATAAACTAGCCACTTCAGTGGCAAAATCTAATCCAATCTCCTTAAACACTATAGTCAAAACGCACATGTTTCAGCATTTCGATAATAAGCTCTATAATTATCACTTACCCTTACTTCGATAAATTTAAGTCTTGCTAATTTCTTGTTTTTACTATTCATCGGCAGTTTTACTTACAAAATATTTAATACTGTAATGTGTTTTGTTCATAAAATTTATAAAGATATCTTGTGAAAACTGCCAAATGTGTGGATCTTTTATTTTCCAAAGGCAGAAATATTTATATATGAAAGTTAGAAAATTATGTTTAAATAGTCATTATACAAGGAATAATTGTGCGTACCATGATTAAGTAAAATTTATTTTAAGGTGGTAGGTGCAGCGGTGCGCGTAAGCAGAAATTTCTTTGCAATGCCAACTTTTTCTGGTACTTCATAAAGCCTCATGTATATAAAATGTAATACTAATAACGGTCTCCTTTTGCTTTAATATGTCTTTTCAACCAACGTTTTTGTTTTGCAGGATTACTTTATTGGGAAAGTAACTTATGCCGTCCTCTTTATATCAGTTTAATCCTGGGCTGATGTCAGACGTCTGGCAAACCAGGATGTGTTGAGCTCATCATTTAGTGGAGGAAAGCAAATTTCCTGATGAGGAGTTTGTCAGTCTAATGTAACTTGGTATTAACTTAAATACATATTCTTATGAACACCTCGTTCTCAAGGTTCTTGAGTACCTCGTTCTCTAGGATCTTGAGCATCTCTTTCTCAAATATCTTGAGCACCTCGATCTCAAGGATCTTGCAAGTCATATTCTACGTATGTTTGTTCCATTTACCTCAATCACAGCAGGTATCATTATCTTGAACATTTCACAAGTAACTCACACTTTGGAAAAAACATTTCGGTCCCTTCTGGACCATTAAGTTAATTGCTGATAATGGTCCAAGACGAACTAAAAGTTGTCTTGTTAGAAGTAAAACGCCTACGGCTTCCTAAATTCTGCAATTGACATAAATTATTACATACTTGAATTATTACTTCAATAGAGAAGTGCTAAACCTGTAGGAGCCAAACAGCACCTGCAAATTAGGTATATCAGCTTTGATCCAAGATTGGTGATGGTAGCTCCAATATCTCAGATCAAGTTAATATAGTATATAGTAGGGGTTCCCAATCTGTGGTAAATTATTCTATGGGGAAATGAAGAGCAAAGTAAAAAAAAAACAATATAATAAAAACTTAATTAATATGTTAGCCTATAGTCCTATACGGGCGTTACTTTTTTTAACTGTTCATGAAGGACTACATTCTAAATTTAAGCTGTAGGTATCAAAATGTTAGAAAGCTAAACTGCAACTATGGAAATACTAGTCATGAGGGGTAACGAATCGAGGGGGGGGGTGGAATGTGGGGTAATGGATATATGAGGGTTGGGAACCCCTGATGTAGGGCATTTAAATCATCAAATATGGAATTATATTTCGCAAGAAACGTATCAGAAAAAAAACACCAACGGTGGTAAATATCACTCAATAAGTAGTTCATGCAAAAGTAATGTAAGGGTTGATCGTAACTCCAGAGTGTTAGAGGCAGACTAATCGATGAATCTCAATGACATATTATAGTATTTAAGGGGAGGTGCTAAACCCGTGAGGATCATAGAGCACCTAAGGGATGAAAGGTAATCAGGACTGATCCAAGGAATAGAATGTACCTCCAATTCCTTGGAACAAGAGAACTCAAGCTTCAAGGTACCCTCCCCCTCTCCTCACGACAAAAACACTTATGGTATAATAGCATGTGATACTGACACGTTGCTGGAAAAAGACAAAATGCAACCACTAGGACACGTTTCGGTGACTAAATTCCCAGGACTGAAACGTTTCTAATAAAATGTCCTGGTTCCTTTCTGTGTCTTTTTTCCAACAAAAAATGCTTATGAATATCATTATTTGAAGGTGAAGATAACGTGCACTCAAAATATTGCAATAAAATTCTTATAAATACAGCATAGTGATCCAACTTTCGAGTGTCTTAAAATTGAAACCTCATAACAACTAAGCTAGAAATTTATTCTGTTCCTGGAGACGACTACAGCAATACTAACTTATCCCAGATCACTTTCACTAAGATTAAAGCAAGATAGTCATTTATCTACGTATATCTTAGTTATCTCCTATTGTGATTATTACTAGTATTTCTTAAATTATTGTATTTGCTTATGATGGTCTTAAATGAAAGGTTACATTTTACATATGCACCTTAAATTATGCAAATTGAATACGACCATAAAACGTATAGACGCGCGATACAAAATAAATAATTTAATCAGTAAATTAGTTACACTAAATTGAAAACTATTTACATAATCATTTAGTTGCGAGAAATTCGTATACAATTTTCCTACAAGTATAACAAAATTTACAAAAAATTCTAAAATTTGAAGATATAAATATCTAGATTTAAACCAAATCAACTATACGGAAAAATAAGTAAAATAAAATAAGGTAAATAATATAAGATAGGGAGAAGGAGAGAAGGTAGGAAAGGCACTGACCGTCGAAGATAAGGGGGTTGCCATTCCTGAAATAAATGAGGGCAGGGAGGGTCTTGATGCCGTAGCGTTTGGCCAGCTGAGCGTCCTGGATCTTCACCATATGAATGCCGTACAAGTCGCACTCATCGTCGATGTTTTCCAGCTCGGCAAGCACAGTGTCGCAGGCCCGGCAGTTGGGCTTGTCTGCCAACATTCGTGGAGAGGCACAGTAACTATGAAGAACTCACAAAGCATTAGATTATTATTAACATTATATTTGTGAAAACGGTTAATCAACGCTCCATGACAAAATGCGCGCTAACGTTGGAGGGCAGAAGTTTGGAAGGTGATCACAAAAAATGTTGATGTAATGAGTCAGCTTCAGTTAAGACATGCATCCATCCATTCAGTTAAGACATGCATCCATGCATCGTGAAGGCTGCACCAGACATGATCAACTATCCCACATGGCAGGCCAGCTATGTAAAGTAAAAGGACACAAGTGCAACTAATGTGACATTTCATTGTGGCAACGTTTCGCTCTCCAGCTTTGTCAAGCCGTTAGCTTGACAAAGCTCCTGGAGAGCGAAACGTTGCCACATTAAAAATGTCACATTAGTTGCACTTGTGTTCTTTTACTTTACATATTGTCGGTAATTCTACCAACTTTATTACAGGCCAGCTAAATGTGGCTAGCGAAATATACTAAGCAGAATAATAACAAGATAGCTATATAAAGTTAATTTATAATTTAAATTATAATTAGGGGTTGATAGAAGAGAATCACTACAATTACAAACGAAGGAGGGTAATGCAAAATCCAGTGAAACTGACGAAATGGATGGACTGGGCCCAGACAAATGATGTTAATAAATTGTAACTAAAATAGGATAAACTTAAAAGCCATATCTAAAATGGATTTAGCAAAATATGAGAGATGCAATTTAAGAGTTAAAGCAACAGAACAAATCTAAAATC